TAAAGTCAGAAAATAATTTATGAAATTTGTATCCAAAGTCTTTGCTTAATCAAAGTTTCAAGTACCAAGGGTCATAATGATCTCTTATTTAACATTTAAATGTGATTTCACAGAATCTTTAACACCATCTCATTTAATTCAGGAAAGCAGTATCATCACACAGGCTAAATATTTACTACAACTTTACAAAAATCTTTTCTGGAATGTTTTTTTCCTGAAAATCTATGAAAAATATTGACTTCATAATTTTTTCTTTAAAACACAGAAATCCACCTGTAAGCAATTAGAAACTATCCTATAAAAAATAAAAGTGTTCCTGTAGGAAGACAAATAGTCATCAGTATACAATATTCTCTAAGGAGAATACAGCAATGAACTGACCTAGATATTGATGCACTTTGCTGACACAGACAATTTCTGCAGTACAATACAGGAGAACTACAGGATCCCAAACATTCAATTAAAATTCTTGCACATTACACATAAAGAAAGAAAAGATAAGTCAAACACAGTATCAGCAGTTTGAAGAATAACAAATGGGACTGCAAGGTTGTGCGGGTTTTGTTTTTTTCTTCTTTCTGTTTTTAAATAAAATTACCATACCTGCAAATAAAACTGACAAAATATCAGTATTTTTTGGGCACATAGATGTCTTACCTTTTTAATTAATACTTTCAGGAAGTTTCCTAAGGTTGTGATAAAACTAATCATAGCTATCCTTTATGGTTTCCCAGACAAACACCTGTGAGACACTGGATTATTATAATAGTTATCAGCTCAGACCAACTCAAGGCAGTGGGGGGGGAGAGAGAAGTGACAGGTCGAATTTCACAAAGGTGCCTGTGATGCCCTGTCCTACATTCCAGGCCCTTGGAGCCTCCCCAGGCAGTCCCAGAGCAGATGTCTGTCACTGCACACCAGGAGCAGTGCCCCACATCACACCCTAGAGCCTCTGACCCAGCCCTGGACTGGTTGCCAAAACAAATAAAACAACAACATGTGCTCTCCATGCTGTTCTGGACTCCTGTAGCTGGGTCTTTGCTGGATCTAGGGGTGGTAGCTATAATTCTCTTTTTCTCTCTTTCTTTTCTTCTTCTTCTCCTAATCTCCTTTGTTGATATTTTGGGTAGCTTAGGATGGGAACTTTGCTAAGTTGTATGGGTTAGCATGTGCTAAGTCAATGCTTCGTGGAAAGCTTTACTTCAGTTGGATGTTACCCTTTAAACTTTTGCCAAATTCTGTTATTTTCTAAAGTTTATCAGTAAAAGCAACTCTTGAGAAAATGGGGGCAGCTTTTTTCCTTTGCACTCTCTCTTAAGGTGTTAAAGGAACTAAAGGTTCTTCTAATAAATTTGGTAGATAAATTGTTGGAGCCTTGTATATTTTTAAAGTAAAATCCATTCAGTGAGCTCGTAGCTCAGGTGCTGGAGTCTTACAACACTGTAATCAAGAAACAGAGTACAATTATACAAAATCAGACCGTAAGTTCTTCGCAGGGGGAGGGGAGTGGAAGGTACCTTAGACCTTATAATCTTACACCTTACCTTAAAATATTTATTACATGGACAACAATCCAATTTTATTTGGATTTTTCCTTTTTCCTTGAGGAAATCCAATCTCAACAGCCCTCACATGTTGTCCTAAAATGGTGTAGGTGCTTTTTTCATTCTAGCTGCCTCAGAAGCTGCCAACGCTACCTTCTGAAGCTACCGAGATGCTTACTACAGCGCAGCATAATCCTGTTGTTTCCTTGTGCATCCTGTAACGTGCTCTATGCCTTCTCCCTAGTAGCTGGTGCAACACTGACACACAGTCTCAGACTTGAATGCCCTCGTAATAATTGTCTGGCAAGGAAGTTGCCAGCTGATAGAAGGGTCTTTGCGGAAAGCAATCCAGAATGAAACACCGGCCGTACTGACTGAGCGCATGAATGCTGTGCTAAGGTTTACTGCTGTTACTTCGGGTTTTTTCCCCTCCCCTTGTTGGTACTATTAGCAGTTTGAGAAGAGACTTTAAGATTAGTTTGAGCCAAGGCAGGTGATATACATGCATTTATTTATAAATGTGCAGTGGTAAACACGCAATTTACGCCTGCATCTGTGCACGTGAAGGAGAAGTCATATAACTTGAAGGTTACTGGGAACTATGAAGGGCAGAGGAGCTGAGCAGAAAGCCAGGTTGTAAAACTAAATACAGGCATTTGCCATGAACCTTAATTCTGGGCTAGAAAGCTGAAGAAATTCAACTAGTTGAGTTCACAGTGGTCTTCACACGTACCCAGGCAAGACAAAAACTTTCTAAGCAGTAGCCTCAAATACCAGGTTTTAAACTTTCACACTTACTTTACCTAAATTCGTTCAGACTCATCTGATGTTGACTCACTAAGTAGAGGTGGTGGGGGCGTGGTTGTTAGAAATAATGATATTGGTAACACAGCAGTTCTATGCCAGTTCTGTCACACAGCTTGTCATAAGGGGAGACCTCCCTCTCTACAACTGCCTGAAAGGAGCTTGTAGTGAGGCGAGGTCGGTCTCTTCTCCAAGTTACAAGTGATCGGACAAGAGGAAATGCTCTCAAGTTGTACCAGGGGAGGTTTAGGAAACATTTCCTCACAGAAAGGGTTGTCCGGCACTGTCCGGGTTGCCCAGGGAAAGTGGTTGAGTCACCGTCTCTGCCTGGAAGTATTTAAAAGACCTGCAGATATGGTGCTTAAGGAATGGTTTATTGATGGCCTTGGCAGTGCTGGGTTAACGGTTGGACTCAAATGATCTTAAAGGTCTTTTCCAATGTAAACTCATTTTATGATTCTATAGTATTTCCTTTGTTTGTCTTCTTTACCTTACTTGTATGGCATAAACAAATACAAGGAAGTTTTATGAAGAAGTAGTTCACTATCTTTCCCTTAGTTCTTTTCTTAGACATTTCCACTTTCCACTCAAAAAAAGAATTCTACTATTAGTACTTCCTAGCATATTCTTTCATTTGAAATGAGGAAAAAAGTAAACTTTAATTCTCATTCTTGTGGTAATAAGTGATAAAAAATAAGCAAATAACATTAGGCACTCTGACCATTTGTCAAAGAAGCTGCAACTCATATTTTACTATCATATCTAAGATTTCTCTATAGAGAAGCCATTATTGGTCCAGATGCCACTTTGAAGGTTTTAGGCATTTAAATTTAACTGCACACACCAGACTTTAATTCTTATATGTACACAATACTGCTCCTATGTGCAATAACAGCAGAGTACAGAATTCAGTCTCATAAGACGAAAGTTTTATCCGTACGCTAGAGAATTTTGACAAAATAAAACAGTGTTTAGTCTGTATATACCAAGACTTTCTAGCTAAAATTTCCGAATTTTAGAAGCACTTTTGGAGTGATGAAAAGCAATACAGTTACATTAGCTTTAAAAAATTATCTTCTAACTCTGATGAATTTAAAGATGATCTTAAGTTTACAGTATAATACAACAACAGAGATGCATGCTGGAGGCATAAAATATTTAAATTTTTGTACTGGGGCAGCCGTACACCAAATAGTAGACCATTTTTTAAAAACTTAAAAAACGTGAAGCCAGTACACTGACAGGGAGGTACCTGCAGGTAGCACTACCTCAGCTTTGCTCCACAGTTGAAGATGAATTTTGCCATTCTCCAAGTACAGTTGAATCAACTTTTGAGCTGCATGACACTCGTACCTTTTAAAATCCAGGTCATTTACCTGCCACAATTAACTTTCGTGTGTCCATGGTTGTACTATCCACAGAAATTTCAAAGACAAAATTATCAAATGCATAGGTTTTAGAGGTTTTAAATTAACTCTATAGTTGCCACCTTATCCACTGCCTATTAAAAACAGAACTTTCCTATTAAAGACCAGTCTGAACATGCTGGATGCATGTAGAGATTTTCAGTACTTTCACTACTGTTATTATGTCCATACAGAGCACATTAGTGCCTAAAATCAGAAGTTTCAGCTATTTGAGAACTTTCTCATGAAGACGTTCCCCAGTTTCCCATGTTTAACAAGAATTCACAATCATTACTTAGCTGTTAAACCAGCACAGATGATTTTGCCCTTTATTCTATGTCATCATATTAGCTAATATAAGGACATCTCACTGGAAAGGTTTTTCTCAATAACAAACACGTCAACGCAGAAAATGCCTCTGACTTAATTTCTGAGTCATCCAAACCAAGGCTTATATAACCCTTAACACTAACAAAAGTCACAGAATATTGAACAACAGTAAAAAACTTCTGCTGAACAAACTGCGCAGTTTCTTGATTTTGTGTCTTTATTCCATTACTTATACACTCATCAGTGGATGGCTAGAAGCTGTTCAGAAGGGATAGGTAAGGCAGTAGAGGCAGTGGTGTGGCTCTGTACATTGGGAGTGTTTCGACCATACAAAACACAAAGATAGGGATGATAAGGTTGAGTGCCTATGGGTAAAAGGAAGGAAGATATGCACACCACAGAACAAGACTGCAGTCTAAAATATCTTCAGTAATACACACCTCAGTTCCTTTATTATCTTGTATTACAAGTTTTCTGATTACTGTAAAGATGAGAAAAGTTGAATTTATCTCTTTAAGTTTCATTATTTCTTTTCAGGTATCAAAATTCCTAATTTAACTAAAGTGTTTTCACAAACAGTAGAGCTTAAAGGAGATTTAAGAGCAAAGGCAGTTGCCTTCACATATACTAACCTCAGTATACATAGCTTCAACTTAAAAAATCCATAAATAGAACTAGTTCTGAAGAACACTATACACATTAACCTGCAAAAAAACCTCACTACTGAGAGGAATGCATATTGCTGGAAGTATAATACCCACTATGAAACAGCAACTATAAATAAAATTTCAATGGCAGTGTAAGGTACTACCTGATCTCATCATTCTCCCTTTCTCATCAGCTTCCATAGATTCTCACAAAGAAATGACTACAGGAAAGATTTCCTTACACATCAGTTTTCTGCAGTATGACTTACCAATTTTGCTGCTTTCCCATAATCAATCCATCGAATGGTGGCAAAGTTTGTTGACTCTGCACAGTTAAATCCATGGTTAAATCCTGCATGGTATCCATATGGGAAAGTGATCATAAATTCTCCTGCCTCTTGTGTAACCTGTAACATTAAAATAAAATTTAAAAAAACTCCAAACAAAATAAATAAATTTTAAAAAGCCTCAAAGTGATCCACATTACAAAAGCAGTTCTGCTCCTAAAGCAATGCAAACTACATTTGCCTTTACAACTAACTGAAAACAGACTTTTTTCCACCTTGCAGGGAAATGAGATTAATGCAAGCAGAAACAGTACACTTGAGACAATGTTCTTTACTATAAAATACATAGCTGCATGTAATACTTTACAAATTCAGAAAAAACGTTCAAAATAGCGAATCTTGAAAGCAGGGGTTCAGTGGTAATAAAATCTAGAAGTAAAGGGAACTAGAAAAGACAGTATGAAGAATATATCATTCTTACTGGCTGAGAGGAAGTAGAGACGTTCTGGATCAAAACACCCCAATTATCATTCCTAAGTACTCACACAAATTAATTGTAGAACTTATTCTGTCCACCACCCTGAAGAAGTTTCTCTAAAGTGGCACCAAAAGTTGTCTTCAAAAGACTGGAGAGAGATCTTATTCTCACCCTTCTCTCCTATACTCACTGATTTCAAAAACTGTGATTCAATGACTTGCGACTGAGAGCCTGATTAGCCTTTTAAGTTTCTTCCTATCCTATTTTATGCAAGAAAGCATAAAGTAGAAGAAACTCTAAGGTGATGAGCCTTAGCGGTTTAGGAAAACAATGTTGTTCATCCTAAAGGAGCACACTCGGGCAGTGTCTTTAGGTAGGAAGAGGGGGAAGAAGAATTAATGAAAAATGCCATGCACTAATTCTTAGGTCTTACGGTTGTGGCAGTGTGCTCTCCCCAGTCCAAAGCAATAACCACCAGTGGCAGTCATGATGGCTGCATATGGTTTAAGATGAACTTTGGGAAGATGAATGGCAACACAGTGGCCAGGGGTTGTCTTGTGCAGTGACCCAGATGTCCTGTTGGTATGTAAATATGACTGTAAGTCAATCATCCTCCTCCATAAACAGTGCCCCAACCCATGGCAGAGGCTGCAGCCAGCATCTCCCCTTGAGCAGGGGCACCTCTCAAGGTTACTCCTCAGGGCTGAGAGACTTCTTGCCATGTCAGATACTTGTTAAGATAACTGGGAGTAAGCATACTGAAACTTTGTCATCTTAGCTAAGGGATGTAAAAGGTTGCTAGTGCATGTATAATCCTTTAGACATGAAGAGTTGACCAAGTCTGGTGACAAAGCCTCGATCCAGCCCCTTCTAGACTGCCCTATGAAAAGAAGCTTAGAAAGCAACAGGGTCCTCTCTGAACCTGTAACTCAAGAGGAGGGTCTCCCTGACAGCTCCAGCTAATCCTATCCCCTACACAATAAATACTCAAGTGTCGTGTTCATCAGATCTTGTTAAACCACTGTCACAATGACCACTAAACTCTGTTAACTCCAGCAAGTAAAGTGCAGTACACTTTTTCCACAACAACAGCTGCTACCACCAAGGGGATCCTTGCATTGGAAATCCTATGTAAAATGTCTCAAGATAAAGCTATTAAAGCACTACTTTAGATATTAAATCAAAACAAATTTTAATCTGCCACTGTCCTTCCCCTCTTCCTCTTTAAGCAAAATTTTAGAGAGCAGAAACACTCTGGCATTACTGGTAAGAAAATTTACAAATAACTAAAGGACAACGGGGATAGAAAATAATTCTTAAAGAAGAAATGCTTGACTACAGTTAAGCTCTAACACTGTCTTGGAGTATAAGCAAGGGTAGTTTCAAAGGACTACTCTGGTCTTTACAAGTGCAACCAAAAGAAAAGTGTGCTAAGGCCACTGGCTCAACAAGAAATTAGAGAAAGCAGATAAAAAAAAGAAAAGCCCCAACTAACCAACCAAAACTAAACAAAGTACCTAAAAGCCACCGCCATGGTAATTATAATTTAGTAGATCCAAAAGTAAACCATTTTCCTACTTCCTAGTTTTAAAAGATACACCAGATTTAGAGGGCTTCTTTAAAATGTGTGGTAAACAAACCACAGGTCAAGATATTCTCTTTCAAGAGAGAAATCTTGTCTTCCTCTGCTAGAATGGACTGTTGCTCTCCTCTGGACATGGAGAAGGGACAGCACTTCTGCCAGTCACTAATATTTTCTCCACACAGAGACAGCTTTAATCAACTGAAGTCAGACCACCAAAGACGGTATCAAGGACAGGCTAGTCAGAGACTTGAAATGGTACACTGTCTTCTGAACTATCTGATAAGAGGTAATGAATAAAGCAGATTACACAGAAATGAATAGTCAAAAGACATTCCCCATGCTCTGTTTGATACACCTTTTTACATGAAACACACATCAGACAACAGGCCCACTAAAAAGCAAACAGATCCATTTAAATAAAGTAAATAATCTGAGCAATGACTGATGACTATTCAACAAGATGCATTTGCTGATTACATGAAAATAATGAGACTTTTCAAAGATTAACTTTCATTGTCTGACAATGCTTTGCATAAGCAATACAGTAATAAAAATTGAAAGGACAAACATGACCCTTTTAGGTAAATACATTTATGATTTGAAATCACAAAAAGGGTTAAATATTAAACAATCACTAAAATTAAAACTCACAACTCCAAACGTTTTTCTTATTAATGTCATGTCCTAAATCTCAGCTTTCTGTTGACATAGTTGTCTTACATTCAATTTCTGCTTTTAAAAAGTCCTTCAAAATTCTTATCTTACAGATTTACCAATTCCTTGTGTTCTTTTTTTGCCCAATCAGAAAATATAGAGGGTTAGCAGACATCTATTTCTAATTGTATTATAGGATGAAGGAAAGAGAGAAACCAAGAAAAATATACTAAGCCAGCACAGCTAAAGAAAAAAATTGCATCTTACATTTTGCATGGGTAAATTTTTTGTGGATTCATATTTAGCACATACAGGCAAATGCACATACAGTTGCACATATTATAGCTGTTATGGTAGCACTCCAACAATCGCCGTGGGAATGGTTAAGAAAGATTATTCTCAACGCTAACGATTCCAAAATTTATCTCAATACACCCTCCCACTGCTGACAGTTTAGCAGGTGTTCTATTGCAACAAGCAGCAGTTCAGTTGCCACCTGGTAGGCGTAGGCTGACTTATCAGCATTCAGCACATTTTCACTTCTATCACTTTGAGCCACGAGAGATCACAGCCTGGTTCTCTCTATTCACTTTCTCACTGAATCCCATTAATTATAATTACAATTGGGTACAGGCTGCTTCCTCCAAAGACTAGGTGACAGAACCAAACTTTAACTGTTTATAGCATTTTTTTTTCTAATTATAATATAGGAATATTCAAGACACCAAAATACAAAAAGTCAACTCCCATACCCCACCTCAAATATGTGGTACTGAAAATAGGTACACTACTTTAAACACCAACCTTGAAAATTATACTGTTTGGAGTAATGTTCTGTGAATCCAAAACTATAAATCTAGTTATAAAACCTTCCAGCTTGGAAAGTTTCGCCTTACAGTTTATGATAAAGCACAAGGCTATGAAGGGAATCAGTATTTACCCATATATTACAAAAACTGAACTCAGCAACTGTATTTCCATATGATAATGTATCATTCAAAAAACAAACTACTTATTTTGTGAGTAATTTATTCAAAAAAAGCTTGCTTTCCAAGGCAGGTAGTATCATTCTAAACGCCTACATTTCTTCAATTTCACACTTAGGTTGACTTAAGCATGAAAAGTGAAGTGATATTCCAAAAAGGCATACATCAAATCAGTGGCTTCTTCCCACCTGTGTTGCCAACAGGGTTGTAACACAGAGGTGTTCTGGTTCTTGCTGAGCATGTCTGACACAGCATCAAGGCCTCTTCTGCTCCCTACACCACCCTGCCACCAAGGAGGCTGGGGGTGCACAAGTAGTTGGGAGGGGACACAACTGGGACAGGTGACCCCATGGCATCGTGCTCAGTATATAAAGCCATGATAAAAAGATGGCACAGGGATTGTTTGGAGTGATGACATTTGTCTTCCCAAGCCACTGTTACACATGATGGGGGCCCTGCTGTCCTGGGCATGGCTGAACACCTGCCTGCCCACAGGAAGCAGTGAATTAATTCCTTGTTTTGCTATGCTTGTGTGTATGGCTTTTGCTTTCCCTATTAAACTGTCTTTATCTCAACCTACAAGTTTTCCAGCTTTACCCTTCCAATTCTCTCCCCAATCCCACAAAAAGGGAACGATCGAGCACCTCTGTGGTGTTTAGCTGGGCGATAATATACATGAAAATATTCACTTAAATGTTATTACTATGGGTTAAGTTTCATACCGTTAAAAAAACATCAGCTACACTAGACAGAAAGCACTGCATTATCCTATATTCTAGGCTGGGGAACATGTTAAGCTAAGTTTGTATACACATGTCCACATGGCACCAATATATAAACAACACATACACTAAAACAGAAACCACAATAATAAGTAAGGTGTGTGGCGAGGGCAGTTTACAGGACTATACTGTAGTGGGAAAAGACTGAGAAAAAGTGTATATTGCCCGGTTCTTCCAAACAACTTAAAATAATCTGCACAGTGACAAACCAAAAATCATAGTCCTTTAATGATCAAAAGACTTTTAAAACTCAGTATTAACACAAACAGATGTTCAGGCAGGGGACCTTCTGAATCAAGTTCTAGTCCTCTAAGTAAGCTTAGAAAACTCCAAAATTTAGAACTTTTGAATTTGTAAAGCATTCAGTGTATAAAAATAAGTACAGTTCAAAAAGAAAGCAATGCATTGAAAATGTTTTATTAGCTGGCACCTATAAGAAGTTCGAACTGGAAAACAATAAAAGAAAAATCTTGTAGAAAGGAGAAAAAAACTGAATACTTCAGATGTTTTTAAAAGCAGCTATGTATTAAATTCATCCAAAAAGAAGAAAGTCAGTTATTCTTCCCACTTCCTGTTTGTATAATGTTCTTATCAAACGTTTATTGTATCATGACCTGGCACTTTAAAATAATCATTCACTCATTTTCTATTATGTTACAGCTTTTGAAATATATTTTAAATTAAATAACAGTTATTTTGGCTTTATCCCACCCTAAATCCTTCAGACCACACTATTGATAAAGTTACATTTAAATTGAAAGCATGGAAATAAATTAATAAATTTTGGTAATGTCTTGGAAAAAAAAATCACAGAAACTTTTACAATAAAGACTGTGATGGCTACAAGTGTTTAATGTTAGAAAATTCCAAGTTAAACTATATAAAAGTTATAATACATCTTTTTATGCAGTCACTGCCTAAAAAAAAAATATTTTTACCCCACCTTTACTGTAACAATCTTTATAATGAACACTAACTCAATACAGGAAAGCAGAGTTTAAAAAAAAAGCACTAATGTACCTTGCCAAAAGGAATTCCATAATTTTTCAATATTGATGGAGAAATCAGAGTTATCTTGTGGCGAAGAAAAGCATCACATCCTTGAGAGCTGCTCGGGAAGAAACCTAATAAAGCAAGATAAGCAAAATTATGTATCTTTTCATTAAAACAAGTAGGAAATTCTTGTAATATTTTACAATACTTAATACTGTTTAAACTTGCTTTATAATTTTTTATCATGTCATTCCTAGGTTCTGAGAGATTTGTAAAAATCAAATGCACCTCCTAAGTTTTTCAACTGCTTTTCAGGGGGAGAGGTTACAGGAATTTGTGTCTTCTTTGTTTGTTAAGAAGTGAAATAATTTAAAATAAATTTGGACCTGTAAATTTAGGCATATTTTCTTACCCTTTAGAGAAACATGTTATTGTCAGAGGTTTCTTTTTATAGTAATGTTCATTCTGGACACATGGCAATCAACTACAGTAATAAATCCAGAAGGATTCCACAAGCTCTAGGTTTACCTAGCACTTACAAACCATCTACACAGTAAACCAATACAACTTTCTAACTAGTTATTTGTACAATTTGTTGTATCTGTCTTGCATAAATATTAGTTAATCATTCACAGAAGCAGTTTAATTCTTGGAGCAACACACTCACTACTCAATTTTAAATAAAAAAAAAAAAAAACAATAATCACTTTCAATCAACCATCTTGAGGAAAAAAAAAACTAACAAGAATTTCCCATAATATATAGCCTTCTCTGTAATGTGAAATTTCTTCACTCTGGTGAGTCTTATATATATATATGTCCCTTAACAACCCTAAAAGTCCGTAACAATTTCAAGGTGATCACATTATAGTTGTTATATTCTTTTGTACATTCAATTCTAGCACACTCACCAGTACCAGAGGAAAATTCTTTTTCTGACTGCTCAGAAATAAGGTTAAGCAGCATTAAGCCTCAAAGGTGTAATGTGGACTTCTGCTGATCCATGTGCTAGGAAGTCTGCTAAGCTGCCCTGAGACCAAATTTTATTCAAATTCATCCTTTTATTTTTATTCACCACCAGCAGGCATAGAATTCTTTACACTCTTCTGAAACTGTAAATAATGTTCTAAGGTTCAAAAGTACAACTTGATAGGTACTGTTTTATCATGTATGTTTGGCTTCACTGACTAAAAGACAGTTAAAAGAAGCTAGTCCACGATTTCCAATAAAGAAATTTGGGCACAATTAATGCCTATAACATAACAATAGCAATCATAACTTAGAACCTACAGTATATGAGATTCATGAAATCTCAGTCCTGAGCAACATAACAAAAGAAATATACTGGAACTTACAGTGAAAAACATGATTGAAAGTGATACTTGAGACTTGAGGAAAGAGCTAGTATGAAAGGTAGCAAAAAGCTTAATTTCTAAAAGCAGGGAAAGTTGGACTGAATTTTCCTTGAGAAAACAAATTTTGTACCAAATTCTGATACTGAAATATGTTCAATTAGTTTGATAAAAAGCAAATGATGGGCTGACATCCAAAACTTATGTTGTACCACTATAACTCCAAGAGATCAGAAATAGTTGTGACAAGTCCAACCAGAAGGCAAGCTTGTTGCTGAATTCCAAGGAAGCTGCAAATAACACAGAACAGCAGAACACAACCTGTTCAAAATCCATTACAAGAAATTTACGGGAGAATGCTTGCTGTGGTTACAGAGCCCTTGCAGTGAAATCAAAAGTGTAGCCTACGCATTCTGTAGCACTATAAAATATCTTATGACTTGCCAAAGTCTACACTTACACAAATTTTTCAGACTCATTCACCTCATTTTCTCAAAAGCACTCCCCCTTCTATGAACAAGGAAAGAAAGGAAAGTAGTATTTCCTCCTTACAAGACTCTGTTTATCAGAAGGTCTTTTGTTCTGCCAGGTTAAATGTAAGGTCACGGAAGCTTTTCTTTCAGAAAAGAAAATAAATCCCTGTGGAAGAACTGCTGAACAGACCAAGCTGATGATAAAACTACAAATTTACAGAATTACCATTTAATCCTCCATGTTTAGTGAAATCCCACATTAAAAAATACTGAAATCTATCTAGAACCTAACTACCATTCAAATTCTGTAATACATTCATGCTTTTAAGAGACACATGAAATCTTAATTTAATCCATTAACACTAACCATTAACTCTAAATTAGTTCTACAAGAGCAAGTATTTTGTAGGAGTTGGCATGCAACCCCATTTTCTTGGATGGTCTCTTGAGACATGGCACACGTGTATAATATTCATCTTCTTGGAAATAATTACACAGAAACAAGATGAGAATTCAAAATAATTACTTCATATGAGCCAGTGAGCAATAATCAGAGATCAAGGTAAAACTGAATTAGGCTGCTCATTGATTTATGCCCATTAGATAAAGACCATCAAATTGAAAATTCTCTAATCCATGATTTACAGAAACACTGACATTCTCAACACCTAGAGCAGAATTAGAACTGTCTACAAGGTAAGTATGTGATTCAACACTTGGTGGCCAAACATTTGGGCATGAACACGTAAAATACAGGAAATGTACACTTATCCACCAAAGCTGAGGTCCCTCTCTGGCTTTTTAAAATCCTTATCTCCTTCTCACAAGCAAGAATAGCGCAGAATATGTGAAAGCACAGGCTTGCATAGGCTTCAGAATGTGCTAACAATCAAAACCATGCCCTTAGAAGACTCTTTAAACATGTTCTGACAGATAACATAGCCCAAAATGTCCAATCTTACCAATGTTATTTGTACTAACAAAATTAAAATAATTCTTTAGTTACAAGAGTTATCGCTGGGCTGGTGAAGACACATCCTTTGTCATGCTATTCCACCTCAGTATGACGTTTCCATACCATTTCTGGTTTTATAACCCACACATATGCTAGCCAGAAGTCAAAGCCTGCAGGTACTCAGCACGTTCCTAGCTGTGGATCCTTGTGGGTCCCTTCCAACTCAGAATACTCTGTGATTCTGTGACTGAGAACTCAAACACACAGGGTAGTGCTGCACTGGGAGTCTTTAAAGTGTACATTAAATGGTTCAGGGATAAAGAACATATTTTAAGAAATAAGTTCAAATCTAAAAATTATTGAGGGACAGTGAGCATTGCTACCTGGAAGGCTCATTCTTCCCTTCCATCTGAGAATATCCTTACTGTAGATCACATGCAACTCCCATCAGACAACCACATCAGTATCATACCTTCACTCAGGCAAACTGAAGTGGATTGATTAGCATTTTCAAGATACTTGGAATGCTTATCTGTGGTACTAAGAATGTGTCCATAATATCTTCAATTAAACTATTCAGCTAAAATCATAAAGGGACAAATTATAATACTATTCCCAAAAGAGTAATTATATAACTCCATTAGACTGAATAGGTCGATTTGCTATGTACTACCTTCTATGATGGAGGATATCACAATTTGGCTAATAATAAAGTCATTATTTAAGCACACATACAAAAAATCATATTCTTAGGGAACTTTCATATCAAATTCTGACCAGTCAATGAATGAGGCTACACTTTCTGTAGATTTTCTAACTTCCATACTCAAGACTTCACCTGAAATTTTACAGTAAAAGTGCTGCATTCGTAGTTTATTATTATTATTATTTAAAATTTTAAAAATGAAAATATAAAACTTATAACAAAAGAAAAAGAACACCCTAAGTTGCAAATATCTTTACCAAAATTTAATGTTAATGAAATTAAAAGTAAACCAAATTAACACAAAGTTATCATTTTTTTTATTTATGTACATACTATTTAAAGGACCTAGAATAATACAAAATATTAATCATAATTCACAGGTCAGTATTCTTGAAAACAGGCAGAGATGAAAGAATTACTGAGTTTTCTAGTAATTGTCTTCTTAGATTTTACTTTGGTAGGTATAAATACAAATTTTATATGATTTATTTAAATTACTTTGCAGTGATTTAAACTGATTTAACTTTCTATGTTGAACACAAAAGAAATTAGAAGGGTAATTCTGCATGACAACAATCATCACAAAGAAACAATGGCAATTCGTATGCTATACAAAGCACAAAAAAGTGGCTTTCAACTGCTAGGAAATATGACTGTTGGTATGCCCAGATGAATACATTAAATGAATACATTTAAGTTTATTATCTCTTCAATGCAACTTTTCTAAGTGGACTTATATCATTGAGAAAAAGTTAAATTCTTCAGCTGCTCAAGTTTTCAAATTCAAGACCCTTAGAAGTTATGCAAGTTCTGCTTCAAATACGATTATTTGTATTTATTTTCAGACCTAACAGGTAATGACTTCTGCATGAAATGAAGTAATTAATATCATATATCATACAAAGCTCTTTATAACAGCCCTATATACTTACAACATATTAATCTTTACTTTAGTTTTTTCTTTAACATAACTGAACACCACAGATAGATGTCATCTCCTTTCTAAAACAGTTTTCTGCACTCAAATGATCTGTTAAAAGATCTTCAAAATCCGTCAAACTGTCATTTTTCATTTGGCACTCTGTTTCTCTTCTCTTTATTTTCTAACCCATTTTGTGAAACAAAAAGTCCTTAAGAATACCATAGTATTCCAGATTAACATAAGAGAAAGTATAAAAATTGCAGCTAACAGCTCACTTGAGATTTTTATTACATTTATGTCTACATAAAATTGGAAAAAAATTTACATAAATGAGAAAGCAGCTGAAGGGCAAAATCAAACTGTTGTCTTTATTAGATGCAAGTCTAATGTCTTTCAGATAAAGCATTTGTAGGCGCCACAGTCAATCAAGATTTCAATGGAAAGCAAAAATGAAAGCATTCATGCACAAAAGGCATGTGTGGTAATTGTGATGTGCAGACAAGATAATGGAAAATATTCTAGCCTTCCTTTAATTTCATGTATCAACTTCTGCCTTGACTCAGACAACCTGTCACATTTAATGTATTATTTTATTATTTTCATTATTTAGGAGCATTTGATTAATTCAGTAGGTATCTGGTCATCAGATCTAACCTTGAAAAAATTAGGGTTTTTTCCTTCAAATGTTGCACTCATGCAAAAATATGATCAAAAATATTTTCAATTTTCATGTCATTAAGTATGAAGGTGTCATTTACACTATGTTTTAATAATGTTTGCTCTTAAGTGACTTGCAGCCACACAGCTTACTTTTTATTTTCATCTTTGTAAGATACCTTACTATAAAATTTAGGCTGTATTTTAGGAGGCAGCAGCTGCAAAGTAGATCACAGAGGTCTTAACTGCTACAGCGTGGAAATAATAAGAAATGGTCCCTCATCTTTACTGTTAAGTACTACAGCATCATCTTCTATATTCCATTCTCATCTATTAGCTGGATGCAAATTATCATGAAAACAATCTACTCACAGAAAAATACCCCAGAGGACATTAAAACTGAATGCTAAACACTTAGTTTCATGGCCAACCCTCTTTAACATTTCCTAATTCATCTATCTTATACTGCTGTTACAAAAATAATCTCTGTATGAGTATGTAGTTTTCCTACGTAAACTCAGTTTTAGTCACGGAGCATAACAGAATAAACACTATTTTAAATTTTATCATCACTTTTCAGTATCTGATTCTATGGTTTAGTTGCTATTTACTATTTGAAACACAGTTATGAAGCAAAAATAGGTGAGATTGAAGTCCTAAGTCCCATTCAGCCTATTGTGCAATTCTGACTCTAGCATTTGGACATTAAGACATGATATTGTTCCCCCAATATAACCTACTGGCTTCTGAAAAACAGTGGGTTTCGAGATTTCCATTTCTCCCCATGCCTTATGTTCCTTTCCTGTTATTTTGGTAGGTCACTATCAGCAGTAAGAGGCCTGAGCACCTTCAGGTCAGTTTTCTAACATGATGCTTTCTTTTTCCATGAAGCAAGACATATATCTCCACAAGTTACCTAATTCCTGAATTTGTACAGGTTAATCCAAAATCTAGGGAAATAAAGGTATTTCAAAGAGAAATTTGAAGAGTTTCCTTGGCAACAATTGATTGCAACAATCAATGCCATGTCTCAATGCCACTTCATTTTTAGAAATGAGTGAACAAGCACTGCTGAAACTGCCCATCGTCTTCTCTCACTTTGAAAATAAAACGAAATTCAATACATGCTCACAGATTTCACAGAATATTCAGAGTTGGAAGGGACCCATAAGGATCATAGAGTCCAACTCATAAGTGAATGGCCAATACAGGGATCAAACCCAAAACCCTGGTGTTATTACCACCACGGTCTAACCAACGGAGCTAATCTCAGTGTTATTACAGGACATTTAAACTTGAATGGTTTTAAAACACTGTATAGCTACAATCAAGCAATATGAAATCCACAACAAACACCAGAGGAGCATTTGACATCAAATAAAAAGACTATCTACCCAAAGATCTTGCTCCCATTAAATATTAAATGTATATGTACAGAGAAGTGTTTACATACAGCATGAAAAGTTTGCTTTCTCTAACTAATCTAGTACCAACTAGATGCTGCTCCAAACCTTACAAAGCCAGCAGCAGCTCCTATAACAGATATAGGTGCCAGTGTTGTCCAAACTGCACCAGAAGCCATGCAAAATTTTAGAATTCACCACGTACAGTGAGGAATGAATGCTGTGGAAAAAAAAAATCTCTTTGCATCTGATTTGAGCCTGCTAAGGTTCTTCATTTTTCATCAGCCCTAATGTCTCTGTCTTAAACTTTCCCAATTCTCTACTCTGTTTACTCTTTTATAATTTCTTGTAAATCTTAATTATTGAATCATCCTATCATAAGTCAGCAACCATTGCCCAGTCTATATGTTTCAATTTGTTTACCAGGGAAAACCAAAAGCTTCAAGTTTAGTGTATAAGGAGTTCTATACTTTGCAAATTGGAAAAAGAATCTGGAAAGCAACGGACAACTTTTTCAAATGGAACTATGGCAAAATTTAGGAATAGGAAATAGTTGAAATCTGTTTTCTTGAGACATGCTTTTAAGACTGGAAATTCACAGGTCTTGACATTCACATCTCTAACTGTCCTTCTACTGTTCTCAGTAATAGTTCTAAAACAACTCAGAAAAACACTCATGCACCTATATACCAACAAAAAGAAATGAAAACAAAAATGTACAAAAATTTGCAGAATTTGGTCCTGATACACAATATCTATTAGGAACTTGCAATAGCATTCTTTACATATTATGGTTAATAGCAAGCTATATAACACGGGTTCCCAGGTAAAGAAACATCTCTAATTATTCCCATGTTCATAAGTTGCTCTCTTATTCTAGAAACAAAAATAGAGGTGTACTATTGAAAGTAAACCAAAATTACTGTGTGAGAATTTTCCTATAGACTCTTGACTTTTTTCCTTTAAAACTCAACCTTACAACAATAGCCCTGCTCCTTGTTCAAAAACGTTACCAACACCTCTGGAAGGCAAAAGCCAGTATACACTTTAGCTAAAGTGGATTTATATGCTTGTTCACTGGTCAGAAAGCTGGTAAAAAATAAGATTTACTGTTTGTACATTTCATGGGCTTCCCCTTTTGCAGAGGTACTAACTAAGACTCCATCCTCTACCCAGTCATTAACTTTGATAAACTTTCTGGAGACTTGTCTGTCTTCAAATTTGGACATATCAAATTTGTATAAGAAATTACAATTCAAAAAGTTACTAAAGAAAAGAAGCTACAACAAGAAAGAGCAAGGGCACAGAGGAGACAAAGATACTAGCAATTAAAATCTAATGAACAACAAAATACTAAGCCTCATTTTCATAAGTTTCACCAAGCTAAAAATGCCAGTACAAAATAAAGTTCTAAGGGAAGAACAAAAAAAATATTCACTATTTTATTTCTAAAGAATTCCTCAGAGCACTACACAGTGTTCCTTGTTTGTAATAATACTGTAGACAGATAAAAAGTCACACAACATTAAGTAATAAAACACAGTAGGTGAGTCAAGGACAATGTTTTTCACTTTGTTGGATGTTTGTCCTTCAAACATCTTACATATGGAAATATTGAAATTACTACCTTGAGCCAGTCTTTCAAGCCGTTTCCCATGCTCCGGAGGAATAGCATACCTAAAATTCACATAAAGAAAGGATGAAATGCTTAAAGACATAATTACCACAAAAGCCATCACTCATGTATGATAAATATCTAAGAATATAGAAGCCAAACAGATTAAAGACAGAAAAACTGTACAGAAAAAAAATATATCAGTATCTAAGTTAAAAATACAGAGGTTGGGTTTTGGGGTTTGGTTTTGAGAAAAATATTACCTTATTTCTATTTTAAACATTATATTATGTAGTCCAAAAATGTTATAGCCACTACTTAAAGTCATGTACATTGACAATATTTCATATTATTAAACCACTCCAGTTAAAAAAGATACATATACTTTAATTTTCCAAATGAAACAAAACCACATAAAATAAGTCTAATTTATACTAGTTTAATTGCTTTGAATTTCAATATGCTTCAAAAGACACAAGGATTCAACAGAAAAATATGATCATTAAACATCCCAACATTTTCCTATAGCCAGTGCTGTTGAATAAAAGGGTTACTTGCCCATGTAGAACCATTACAATAGGAGTTCGAGATTATTAAAGAAATACACTTTAAAGAATTGTATATATCTTAAAATCCCTCTGTTCTTACAATAAATTAATTTTTAAAAAATTCCATATGGTATCTGCAACAGCTCAGCAACGATACAAAAGAACTGGAATAAACCTCATGTTATTTTTCATGTTTACTGAAGCCAAAAAATAGAAAACTATTGAAAAGCTGTTTCCTTTCTGCTTTTCTTTATTATTAACATATTTACTGCACTTCCTAGACATACGGTATGTTTTAGTGGAATTTATTATTGACCTTAACTACTTTAATATATGATATAATAGGCTTCTGTTTTAGTTTAATATTGCAATAGCATTAGATTGAGTCTTTTCTATAAAAAAATATGGTTTAGAAAAGAAGAAAATGTATATTCAGCTGTACGACATAGCCCAAATCCACACTGTTAAACTAAGTAAACAGTTTTTCTCTCACTACACTGGGAACGCGTTTCATTCATCTCCCCTGACAACTCACTCAGAAAAACAAGTGAATGACCTAGGGCCCTCATTTCGCGCAAGAAATAAACATCCCCCTACTTCAACCTCTGTTTTGCACATATAATGCAATTTTACAATTTTACTGTATTACAACTGAAAGAGTTGCGTGGAAGGAAAACCACTACAGAAGTCAGTGTTCTGTAAGCTGAACCATAGCAAAACACATGCCTACTGGAAACCCACTTCACACAGTATTAGAAACTCTCAGTTTGACTATGCTCAGTGTTTGCAGTTTTAATCAGAACTTCACTGTCTTCGGAAAATGCATTTTGTTTCTCTCCATTTGTACTTCTAAAGTGCTTGTGACTGTTCTCCAGCCTGTATTACACACATAGCAGTGTATCCATACTAATCTGAATTATATGTTTGCCATCTTTCACACTCCAACGGAGAAAAACAGTATGTACAGAATTATATACTGTAGCGTATGTCATTAAATACATAACACCATAAAGTAAAAAGCATGACCAGATAGTGCTTATGTCTTAAAAAAATTCAGAACTGGATACTGTGCTTTGCTTTGCTTTACTTGACTCTAATTGGATTGGTATTCTTCCTAAAAAGTTTCTCCTGCAAAAGTACGTGCTCCTACAATTTAGTGATAATATGCAGCCACATGCCTCCATTTGTACACATAAGCATGTAAGTACTTGTCAATATTACAAAAATGCAAAACTGAATAACTGAGCTCTCAATAAGTCTCTTGGAAAAATAAGATGGGACATGATTTAACTGGACTACTGCTATTTATTTAGATAATCTACAGTTACAAAGCAATACAATACATTCAATGCAAGTTGGTGTTTCTCACAGTCTTCATCTGAGGTCTGCGGTAACTAACATCTACTCCTCAATCCTTTACCTCTTCCCACTGTTGCTATTGCTTATTGCTCACAGCTAAGACAAGGACTAATGAATGGTGACAGACCACCTTTGTACTATCAGACATGAGAAGTCCCAATGTCACACGTGAGACACTTTGGGATTGTTTCCTAACACAGTTTATTAGAAAACTGAGTGACATGACTCTTGCTGGATTCTTGGTCTACTGTACACTAAACAAAAAGCTCCCAGACTCAGATGACCAACTCAGAGGAAAAAGTATTCGCTCTTAGTCTCAATAGCTAGCTTATATGAAAATTTGAGCAGTTAAAAGCTTATAGAAAAATATTTTTTGTCATCTTGTGTCCAGTTTTCTTTTAGCTACACTACCATTTGTTTGATTTCTCAATCTTAAGGCCAAGCCCAGCCCACTTTAAAGCAAATGTAATGGACATTTAAAGGTAAATAACTAAGAGGCAAAGAGAGTTTTTCTTGGGTAACAGCGAAGAAACAGACAAAAAGGCAAGAAAAGACAAAAAAGGAAATGTTAATGCTAACTATAATTTTATTAGTTCAAGAAGACATACTTGTTAAATAGTATGAAAAGATAGAAGCTGAAGAGTTGTTGTTCATTGCTAGTCATACTACATACTACAAGGACAGAAAAAATATGGTACATATATTTGTTGAGTATCGTCCAAAAAGATCTTCTGAAATACATATTAGTTCAGTAAATTAAGCCTACTGGTGACAAGATAACTACAAATAAGAAATAAATATTAAATCTAAGCCATTAACTTGTAATTGTTAAACATTTACGTATATGTTTTCAAGATTAATGTTTCTACACTATTTCTCCGTATGCTTTAAATAAACACATTAAAAACAACAAATCAGTGCTTTACTGTGCAAAAACTACTCAGCCAACCAAAATGGTCATCACACCAGAAGCCACTTGTATTCATCCAATCATTCTCGTATCAGCAACCAAAAACTCAATGAGAAACAATTTGGGTTCTGTCTTTCCTAAGCCACATGCACATACAGATAATAATTAACAGCATCAGCCACAAGCAAATTTAGCATTACGTTAAATACTTAACCAAACTGCTTCACTAAAGTCCATGTTATACATTGACAGGGTAATACTACCTGATTTTTCCTGCACATTCATATTTTTTTTCCACAGGGGATAAACAAAACAAACAAACCCTCTCTTTTTCTTCTAATCCCTCAGCAAAGTTCCTCCTTTTTATGGAGAGCAGCAACTATAAAACGATTGCTCAGTTTCAAGCACGATAACCCTTTCAGGTTGCTGACAAATCACCATACTGTTTGATTATAGCTGCCTTTTCACAATCAGAATCCTTATTTGACTACTGTTGTCTCTGTGACCCATAATATTCTTGTTTCTAACTTTTATGACAATTTGCAGCAAGAAGTGTGACTAATCCTCACCTCTTCTACTTTGAGCATAAATGTCCCACCACCTTCCCAGGGAAGTTTTATACATTATTCTATTTCTCTCACTAAAGGTTTGGACTTTTCTGTAATTTTCTGAGTTCGTTTTGTTTCCCAGACATAGAACCTAACTAGGAAACATGCCAATTCTGTCAACGGTATGCATAACTTGTGCTGACTTTTTAATCACCTGTCCAGATTTTAACTAGTTTTTGTCAGCTGTTGATCACACTAAAAGTCCTGTTAATTCTACCCAGAAGACCCTGGAAGGACCTAGCTGAGTCTCTTTAAATCCATTTACTTTAGTGCCATATCTGTTCTCAATTTCTACAATGTTAGCATCAGTCTGAGTATGTTTTTCTTTCTTCACCATTTTTGTCTGTAATTTTGTGTAATACTAATATCAGAACACCACCCTTTTTTATCCCATCATACTTAGAACACCATTTCTATCTCTTCTGCTACTGGGATGCAAAATCTGAAACAAAATCATGTTTTAAAGACTCCCACACCCCCTACCATGTAACTAAATATCTTTCCTGATTTTTCCACTTCATGAAATGATGTTGGTACACATTCAACACTGGTAAATCCACAAAAGCAGATTAGTCATGGCAATCAAGAGGTGGCAGTAATGTTGCTCGTTGTATAAATTCTAGGCAACCTGGAGATCAGGATTTCTCACCATCCTATACACACTGAAATCATGAAGAGAATTCCCGAACCTAAATCCCTGCTTTATTCTGAATGTCACCATAGAACCATTTCCTCTTACAACCTAAATAAATTGTGAAGTACAGTCTCACTCTCCTAATCCATCTAATTTTGGCTATCTAAGCATTCTCTCTTCAACAATCTGGTCTCTTTTTCTTGACATCGTCACAAAGATGGAATCATCTTCTCTTTCTGTAGTGTATAATCTCATTTACTTTATGACTGACCAGCCCTGCAAGGTATTTTGTGATTTATGAAATACCTTATTAAACAGGAGGGGTTTTTAACATAACATATTGTGCCTTGTCATTTCCAGTCTTTGGAAAAGTTAGAGTGAAGATCAGATGGAATGTCACAGAAAACATATAAACCAATACATACATTTTTATTATAATATTATTATTACATACTGCAAATTCATACTGTGCCCCTCTCAATGGTGAGTAAAAAACTCTGGTTCGTCATGCAGAAAAGAGTTCAGGCCTCCACCCTCAGATATAAAAGGTGGAAAAAATAGGAAAAATTTTTTTAAAATATTACTTTCTAAAGTAAAATACTATATTCTTTACACATCTTTACTCTTCTTTAAAATTTTAAAAAAATAAGTTAGTCTAATTATTATTATATTTGAAATACCCACAGTACCATGAAAATAATTATTTTGTGCCTGCTTAAGAAATACTTCCACATATTCATTATTAAGACTCTTCAAGAAGATTTATGTCATTTTAGCACTTAAAAAAATTTAGCACCCCTGTTTTTCGTGAGGTAATTGGCACAAAGAGTAAGCCTTGCTTTCAGATACTTAATAAACCCAGAATTACTTTTTAAAAAATATTTTTATTCAGATTTTTTTAATTTAAAAATTTATAATGTAAATTGAAGCATTATCTGTATTTTAGCCAAGGATATTGTACATATACTAACAGTCTAACATTTGAACTACTAACAAAATTCTGCTCTATGCTAGGCATGAATTTTCAAGAGGAGTTGAATAGTTTAACATTACAAAATTCCTCAAATTAGTACACAAAACAAAAATAAATTCTCTTTAGCAGGGCCCATACCCCCAAAGCAATAATTCCAAAAGAAGAAAATATTTAACAACAAATGCCAGAATAAAGACATTTTTTATACTAATAAGCAGTTCACAGATATCATTACATAACACATCATATCAAAAAATAACTGAATTAATAAAGTAGATCATCAATCACACCAATAGTTTCATCTTCCTACTAAGACCTTTTCTAAGAAACTGTGATGTAAAATGAGGTACCATCTTCAAGATTTTTCAACTCAGAAAAAAAATGCAAAAGGAAAATTGCAGTAAAAATTCTGCCTACTGGCAATTTTAATTGTCTCTATTCTACTTTCCAGCAAATCTTTCCTCACCCTATGTCACTCTCTTCTGCCCTCATATTAATCTGTTTCAGAGCTTCTGAATTCTGAATTTCCTCTCTGTAGCACTATTTTGCAAGTTAAAGAATCTATAAAACATATGTATTACACAAACATATACATAAACACATAAACAGCCCTAGTCCTGATTTTGCAAGTGTTTCTCAGACACACTTTTCCCTCATGTTTCATTTGAGGCAGTCAATGAAGGAATCAGTATACGTAATATAAAACTACAGATTTCTCTGCATACCTCTTGGAAGTGCAGAGTATAAGTAATGAAAGTTAATCTATACCTAAACACTGGAGAAAGCTTCAATTCCATAAAGACTATCATAGCAGTTAGATTTAGCTGCTACCCACAAGTTCTCTTTGTGGCTCTCCGAAAGAAGTGGTTGTCCTTTCACAATTCAGAGAACGTATACTGCATATTAATTTTCCATAACACCCGTATGGCTGTCTTGAAGAACAACAAGCAAGAACAACAAGCAAGATTCAGCTCATGCCCAACTTTCTTGAAGAAAACATTATAGTAATATCACATTTAGAAAAGACACATTTTACTGATAAATGAGCAGCTTCAGCATAAATTATTGCAGCATTCCTACAGTAAAGGTGCAAGTGTAAATCAAATCTTTAGTTGTCTTTCATTCAATTTTTGTTTAGTGCTGCATTTCCTAAAAATATGGGTGAATGTGTCCCAGAAAATTAATTTGTATCCACTGTTATTTTTTCAAAGGTGAAGAGGTCAGCATTTAATGATTTTGTTCATTCATAATGTAAACAAGTGTCTGTAAACTAGAAAAGCAATTATCAACTCACACCTCCTTCAAAATACTTAAAGAAAAGAAGATTTCCTATCTTCTTTCCATTATGCCTAAGGAATTTAGGGTTTAAGTAAAGGTCTCTACTTTGGAATTTCACAATATGCAGTGAGATTTTCTTGAAATAGCACTCTTCAAATTCCTAAGAAGTAAAAAAAAAAATTCATGCAATCATTGTATTAGTTAAATGTGTCCTATCATCTTAGAACGTTTTGGAATCACCTATCTTTACACTGATTTTTATCAAAAATACTGATCTTATGGCTAAGACTTTCTTAGTGTGGTTAATTCTATCAAAGCAGCAATTTCACATTTATCAATTCAAAACATGGACCTGCATTTTACCACAACAGGTTACATCCATCTTCACTGCCTTTACTCAAGAGACCCACTATAATAGCAAGTCAACTTGAAGCAATTACCTAAGAAGCAGCATCTGACCAATTTACCACCCTCAGAGTATAAATACAAAATGTTACACAGGTATTTTTATTTTCTATGGGTGTAAAAATAACAAATAATGTTTTATAGAATTACTAGCTATAAATTTTCTACCCAAGTCTGGATGACTAGAAAACCCCAGAATTGAACTAAAATCATTAGAAAGATATATAACATATCTTTTATATATCTTTCTAATGATTTTATGTTCTCTTCACAGGTGTTTTGGGGGAAAAAAAAGAAAAAAGATTTTATGATCAAATGGAAAACATTCTTCTCATATACCTTGGATACACGTATAACACAATTGATACGTATAATATTAAACCAGCTTGTCTATTACAGCTGTTTAACCAAAAATTTAAGACTATGGAGAAAGGATAGCAGAAGTTTTGTACACAGGAAGTACCTTTAACTTGATCTTGCCTCCTACTGGTCCTACCAAGTTCGCATTAGAGAATGACTCTGATTCTAAGAAGCAACTAAAGGCACATTTAATACAAAACATGTTATGCAATCCCAAAGGGAAACTGAACGAAAGAACCTGATTTCAAAGAGCTCTTTCAGAAGTTCCTCAAGTAGTCTTGGGGTTCCCAACTCCTTACTTATACTGGATCTTTAAAATATTTTTCTGTTGAACTCCAATAAGCGTTATGTACTTATCTTTTCCTTCAAAAATCAAAGACTCCATTGGTGTGATGTTCATCACCAACCTCACATATTTCAAAGTATTGAGCTTAAAAAAACCCCTCACAAAACTACTATCTTAGCTTTTCAGTATAGGTTATCATTGTGAAGCAATTGTACCCCATCAACAGATGGTTTAGTCAGCTGAGATATCATCTTTCATAAAAATTTAAACTTGCCATGACTTTGGCTCCCCGAAATGGAGATAATTAATACTGTAGAGATCCATGTCTTCAGTGTGCCATGCAAATGTCGTTTTCCACATGCCAAAATACAGATATGGTGTATTTACACCCTCGATAGAAATTCCACACTCTTCTCCTACAACATCCAATATTGTATTAAGATGGGCAATATTCCATTCCTTAACACCCTGAAAGAGATACATAATAAATATACTGATCAGTTTATCAAGCAATGCAACTTTATATAATAGTCTCAGTCAAAAAATACACACCTGATCTAGCCCTTCAAAAAACTGTATGTTCATACAAATTTGTAAGCACTTGAGAAGGCAGCTGAAGTTACTCAAAGAAAATTCTCTTGACCTTAGCAAGTTTTAGACCAAGTCACAAGTCTGAGATGTTCAGGGCAGAGAATATAAGGAAGTTCATATCTGATTTACACTTAGTACATCAAATCTAACATGGATTAAAACACCGTACACAATAGAAATAACAGTTGCAGACAAAATCTTTGATGAGTTGATAGCTGGAAGACATTAAATTTCACTGGGCCTATCTATGTTTTTTTATTACTTAAAAAGTAATACCAAACAGCATGAAAAATTATTTAAAAATTTATTTTACATGCATATATTCACCATTTCTCTGTAAAGTATACAAACATAAAATGATTACATTACTTCAGAGATATTTCTAATCATGATGTACTGCAGAAATCTATTATTTCCTGAGACTTAAGCTGTTTCCTTACATTATTGCCCATAAAATCTGTATATTAAAAGTCATTCAGAAAGCAATGCAAGTGGTTTTTGTTGTATTTCAGATTCAATCACAAAGTGCAATTCTAATTCCAGGTAATACAGCATGTAAGAGACAGTATAACCAAGATCAAAGCTACAAAACTGAAGAGAAAAAGATTAGACTTCATTATAACAGCAATTATTAGCACCTCTAGGGAGGACATTAGCTGGTGCTCAAGCAGTAAGAAAAACAAGAAATATAATCAAAACTATTAAAAACTCAATTCAGGCAAGTTTTCTTGGAAAGACAGCCTCTAAGCATACCCTTAACCGTTAAGCTGCTCTGCACACCACCCAGCACTGAACCTACAGTTCTGGTAACCTTACTCATTGGGGAATAAAATAATGGCAGACTGCAGACCTGATGCATCTGATTAAGGTTAAGTAACATGATGACATTCAATAGTTGGACAGCTGGAGAAGTAGTAATATAGGTTAAAGCAAGAAGTAATGAAAATTTAATATTCTCAGTTTTCATTTCCTCATTTTTTGAGATTTTTATGTCAAGCATGTTAAGTATGTAGCAACTAGAATTGATATATAAGAAGGTAATGCCTGTATGAAGCTCAGAATTGTTGTTATTGAACAGGCACTTCTGACTGCCTTAATAAGTGAAATAGTCATAGAGGCAGTCAGAAGTGCCTGTTCAATAACAATTCTTAATAAGTGAAATAGTCAAAGGAGTAAAGGATGTTTACAGAATGAATTCAATTCAGACAGTAATTTTTGTTCTTCTTTTAAAATTAAAGCCTTAGCTTTGATGTATTTGTTAAACATAAAGGCACCTGAAATTTTAAAATTAAAAAAATATAAAATTCATATGATAAAAGAAAAAAACACTAATATGAACTCAAACAGTAGATGCTGGTAAAATCTGCACCTTTCAAATATAACAAGCAGCAGCAGCAAGTTAACAGAACTGTAAAATAAAATATTTGTTTGAAGAAACAACTTTAACCAATAAGTCCTCAAATCAGTTTAAAATTTTATTTTTTTAAAAACATATACAATTTTCCTCTCTTTACAAATTGTGCAGTCCATTTGGAGAAACAAATTAATTCACCAAACTAAGAGCAATGTCTCAATCATGTAGGCACATATAGAGGGTTGGAAGAAAACATTTTTACTTGTAAAAATCAACTGTTAATCTAGGTAGTCTACTCTGACAGTGGCCAAAAGTAGACAGGAAACAGCGTAAGTAAAGCAGTACTTCCCCATAATACCCTTACAACCTGTAGCAATTTGCAGTTTGAAGGTTTCTTCAGACAGAGGTGTTACCTTTCTACTTAAAAGTATCCCATGGGCTTTTTTACCTATTATTCATCCCATAACACCCATGTAAGCTCTTAGCAACCATAATATCCTGAATTAAGTAATAGATAACAGAATAAATTACTTTTTATGACACATCTCATGTTTTCACATTCTGTTAAGATGTATCATAACTAGTCACCAAAGAAACTGCTAACGGTTTGTCCTAAACCAAGAGCAAATCCTCCCATGGAGACCAATCCTAGGACAAATAGCTTGTTTCAAAATACCAAACATACCAAATAAACAATCCACAACTTCTACACAAGATATATGAGCTATTTCCTTCTCCTACAGACTATTTTGGACAAATACTCTTAGCTAAAAAGGAAATAGTCACTCAAACTGACTGAAACACTAAAGTCACACTGACTCATCTCCACTCCTTCTAATTCCTTGAACTTAAAAAATTAAATCAATTTTATATTTATGCCTAAATTGTTACCAGTAATTATCACAAATTATTATTAAATATGTTTCTTTACCTCGCAGACCTCTCTATTTTTAATATTCCAAAACATTTAATGCTTACACAATTTTTTAAGTAAAATATCCGTTCTAACTTTTCCAGTAGTTATATAACTAGATTCAGCCTTAACAATTGCAATGCACAGTAAAAGGATCCCTGCTGTAAAAGAGCAGTTTAACAGGTGAATACATAACAATACTTCTCAAAATTTAAGTATATTTTAGCAGGTTATGCTATGCTTAATAACCATTGTTAGAACATCAGTACATATAGCACTTGACCATGAGGTGTATCTGGTAGTTTCTTACAAATACATTCAGACATTATAAACTATTCAATGTTAGGAAAATATAAAATATTTATTCTGCTCAAAATATCACAATTATATCCAAATATCATCATAATTTCAAGAGAATGTGTAACAATAATATTTCTAATTTGTCCACATTTCTAATGGTAGATTCTTTAAAGAATACCTGTAATCACTGACAACTGTACCATATAATCCAGTATCTGGAAAAAAGCTGAAAACAACATATTTTACTTTCTTTAAACAGACCTGAAACACCTTACTAATTGTCATCATTGCTACACATATTACATTTACCTTGTATTTCCTGAGAGAAATATTATAAGGTAAACAGTGGCCTATACAGAAGACCATTATTCCAATATTCCGTAACAAATGTGGATAGAGCCTTCCCAAATCTTCGTTCGCGAAGCCTAGCCATGATGATGATTCCAATATTCACTAATTTTGAAGATGTTTCAAACTTATTGTAAATTACTATCCAGAGTTTTTATTACTCTTAACAGCTTTTGCATCTGCTTATAACGCAACATGGAGATAAAGTGGGACACTTGACAATAAATTCTCATCTGAACACTTGCACAGTTTGGAAGGAGCTTACCCATTGTTTTTCCAAAGACAAAGAATAATATAAATCTCAGTATACTGGTAAAAAGTGAAGTTCAGGGTTGTAAGCAGAGACCTCTTTGCACATAAGAATAAAATAGGCTCCAAATACAGTGATTTTTTCTTAATTTCATTTTTTTAGAAGTAGAAAAATGACATGATGCTATTCTTTGTACTTTATTTAAACAAATCAGCTAAGACTGTGATGTATTCTATTTTTAAGAACGTGATTTCTGTATGTATACATTATTACACACAATCTTTTTTCAGTGTTTAATTTTTCCTGTGATAATCTCAGGGCTTCATTTCAATATTAATCTGGTAAACAAGATATCAGTTGTACAAGTAAGATTAAAAACCCCTTATGACTGACTATAATAGCTCAAATAATAAAGAAGAGTAAAAAAAACCAATTTAAGAGACAGACTGGAAAGGAGTAGGAGAAACATTACAGAAAAATTGTGTTCTTGGTAAACCACTCCTCATTCCAAACAATCATTCACTCACACCAATGAATGTAATAAATTGCCAGGTTTTTACTGTGCCTTCGAAGTTGTTAAAATACAGAAAGAAAAATGCTGCGAACAGAATCTCTGCACTATAAACACATAGATTAGGAAATACAATCTCCTCATTATATCTGTTTTTACTTCTCAGCATTTTTAAGGATACAACCATTGATTTTACAGCACCCTTTTCAAGGGTGGGCAAGTAGATTCTTTGGAAATGCAGGCTAGAACCAAATATCTTAATGACTGCTCATAGTGATCTCAACTAAGAGCAGATCACAGAGAAAGAACATTTAGGTTGGAAAAGACCTTGAAGGTCATCAAGAACTATCATTAACTTGGCTTTGCCAAGACCACCACTAAACCATGTCCCTAAGCATCACACCTATGGGTCTTTTAAATGTCCCCAGGAATGGTGACTTAACTACTTTCCTGGGCACCCTGCTCCATTCTTTTCCTTGAAGAAATGTTTCCTAAAATTCCAAGGTAAACTTCCCCACTGGCACAACTTGAGACAGTTTCTTGTTGTCCTGTTGCTTGTTACTTCATAGGATTAACAAATTCACTAGATTTGTTGCCCTTCTCTTGAAATGCTTCAGCAACTCAATGTCCTTCTTGCAGTGAGGGGCCAAAACTGAACACAGGATTTGAGGTGTGGTCTCACCAGTACGAAGTACAGGGGGACAATGACTTACCTGGTCCTGTTGGCCACACTATTGCTGATGCATGCCAGGATACCATCAGCCTTTCTGGCCACCTGGGCACACTGTTGGCTCATATTCAGCCACTGTCCAGGTCCTTTTCTGCCTGGCAGCTTTCCAGCCACTCCTCCTGTAGCACTGCCTGGGGTTTCTGTGATTCAAGGGCACAACTCAGCCTTGTTGAATCTCATCCTATCAACCTCAGACCATCAATCCAACCTGTTCAGATCCCTCTGTAAAGCCTTTCTACCCTCGAGCAGAGCAACAGCCCAGCCCAGTTTGGTGTCATCTTCAAACTGACTTAAGGGTGCCCTCGATCCCCTTGTCCAGATCATCAAAAAAGACATAAAAGAGGACTGGCTCCAATACTGAGCCCGAGGGCAACTACTTGTGACTGCCCCCCAGCTGGATTTAACTCCACCCTCTGGGCCTGACCATACAGTTTTTAACCCAGCAAAGAGTAGAAGAGTAGACCTATCTCAATTTCACTCCAGAATTCTCTACCCAACCCCTGCTCCCTATCCTATATACCCCACTCCCACACAAGCAGCTCAGGGAAATGGAGAAGGAAGGTTGCTTTCAGTTCATCCCACATTGCCTCTGCCACTTCTTCCGCAGCTCCAACATGGGGTCTCTCCCACAGGAGACAGTCCTCCACGAACTTCTCCATGTGAGTCTTTCCCACTGGCTACAGTTCTTCACAAACTGCTTTTAGCTCCTGGGTATTTCCTGTTAATGCTTGAGTTCTGTCAGAGGATCCTTGCTCATCCATGCAGACCTCTGGCATTTTTTCCTGACTTCCTGCTGGGAGGAGGACTACTCTTGAGCTTAGAGAAGGTGAAACACCAACCAGCTTCCTTGGGCCCTTGTTTCCTCCAGGGCCTTATCAACTGGGACTCTAACAAGGAGATCACTGAAGACACCAAAGTCTGCTCCCCTGACAGCCAGGGTTGTGGTCCTGTCTTTTGTCTTGACATGTCCCCTTAAGATCCCAAACCCTGCCATCTCACAGTCACTCTGCCAAAGCTGCCCTCGACATTCACATCCACAACAAATCCTTTCTTGTTTGTGAGAGATCCAGCAGACAAGTTTGGTCAGGAAGTTGTTACTGATGCTCTCCAGAGACTCTTGGATTGCTTATGCCTGCTGCTCTCCTGCAGCCTTAGGTTTAGCTACAACCCAAGTGCCATCCCTAACTCATTTAGAATCCAAGTTCTACACATAATGTCAAGGTGTTGCTTCAAAATCAAGTTGGTTACTCTGTCAAGGGATATGGTAGGAAATTCAAGTACATCAGTTGCTAGAGCAAGTAACACATTAGAGATGTACCTACAATTTAGCAAAAATAACCGTTAGCCTACAAACTCCACTGAATCAATCACTCTTGTATTACCAATCAAATATGCTTCCCATACCTTATACATGGGAGAAGGCAGGCACTAGAAGTTGTCTTATCAGGAGAAATAAAACTAAAAGAAGAAAAATGGAAGTAAAGTGCTATCTTCAAGACAGCAGCTGAGTCGTGAGAGAGACACAAAACAATATTTTTATGTGCTTCTTCCAAACTTGGCTTTTCTCTACGGAATAGCAGATGCAATTGTTAGCACTGAAGTCAGATGTGTTTTATGACTTGATTCATTATAAACTTCAGATCGGTCACTTTTCTTTGGAACTTTGAAACTAGGAAGATTTTCCCCGTCTAGTAGCTAGATCAGTCAACGTAGGGGTCACGCTTTTTCCCGAGTCACCTACATTGTCATTATCCTACAAAGCACTGCAATTAAATGTAACACCAATTAGAATGTATACAGGACAGAATAATATTTCAAGCAAACCTTGACCTGGAATTTATTTTCTATAAAGCTCTATAGAGCGCACAGAACACTTGTTCTAATAGATTATTTCCTTATTTGTAAAGACTTAATCTGAATTCAAAGATGTCAAGATATTTTAAATAAATAACAGAGATTCTGAAATAATTCAAATATCACAACGGTAAACTTTAAATCATTGATGGTAGTTGTCAAATTTCAAAGCATGAATTGATAGCTTTGTTCTTCTTTTGTTTGGGTTTTATTTGTTTTGTGAGTTCTTTTTCTGTTCCATGTAACACAGGCTTTATAACTTTGCCCCATCTTCCAACCCCCTCAGAACCTGTCATCCTCTGGTTTTAAAAAAATCAAATACTACGAGATCTATGATCTCTTTGGCACAATGCAAGCAAAGTGCTGGATTCCACAAGCAACAGTATGTTTCTTAAATAATACTAATAGTAAAAATTAAGGCTTCATCATGCTTCAGATACAGATGTCTCAATATAAAATTGACTGTCACCCATGGAAAAGAAAACGTAATTTGTAAACTGTTAAACTGAAGAATACGGATTTACAGCACAGCAGTATTTCTCACTAATTTTGATGACCCGTGTAGACATATAAACCACATTTTCACTAAGTTCCTTGTGGTTTTCCACCTAGAACTCTGTCAGATACTTACCTTAAATGTAACATTGCTAACAAACTTTTTTCTTTAAAATGCATTTTGTAGAAAGTACGCATTTGTTTTGTTTCTCGCAAATAGGCTGCTATGACAAATTAATCCTATCATTCCCTTTCTGCCCTATGGTGCCAAAAATGTCAGTAATTTGTATTCATCTCCTTTCCACAAATAATGACAATCCTGAAGGAAACTGAACAAAACATAAGAACAACCTCTAATTTCAAACAGATTCAAGAAGATCTTTTCTTAGCACTATCTTCATGCATTAAAACATGAAAAATATTAGTTGTGCAAGTGCACCATCTGCTGGCCAAGAAGTAACTGTGGTAAAATTATTCTAAGACAACACTTTGATCACTGTAACTTTCTCACCAACAGTTTGGTACCAGAGTTTTTTTCCTTCTTTTCCTTTATATGTCACTGGGCTGTATACCGTCACAGTGGCTGACATTAACTGCTCAAGTCTGCTCACATTTCTCAACGTCAATTACTCTCACTAACATTTCTCCTTTGTTATATATATTTAAATAGTACCCTTTTATCACACACATCAAGGTTCTTTTAGTCTACTTTTTATTGCTTTCTTCCTCACTCTCTGCAACTTCATTTCAGTGCTTCATTTCCTTCTCCTATGCATATAGCATCTGAGTTAGTATCTCTAAATGCTGCCCTTCTCACTTCCCCATTTGTTTTTTTTTTCTGACCTCCCTTCCTCAGCTTCCCAATCTAATGAGTGCAACTCTATGAGAATGAAATCTCTGACCTCCTCTTTGACCAATCAGCATTTCCAAATTGGATATTACTGCATTCATTTCTTTGGAAATGTTGCTCACGCAACAGTAAACTTAAGATATTGAAGATGAAAGCAAACATAATCAAAACAAAGCATATATTTGTAAAACGTTATACCATAAGTATAAGAAAAAAAATCAGAGAAGAAAAGGGGCAAACTTCTATTTCTTGAAACAAAGACTGTTTTTCTGTGCCTTATTTCAGTCTTTACAAAGCAACAGCCATCTAGAATGTCTCTTCGCCAAAACATTCCAAATTAGAATCTTCAATTATTCTCTAACTTATTTTTTAAAATAGCTATTTGGGCACACAATAGAATTTGGACTTGCTACTTTCTCTAAACAATAGACCACTGGACATCTATAGCTATGTTTCAAAGATCACATACTCAGGGCAAAAATTGAATTGCCTTCAGCCATATTGGCTGACCATATTTATCTTTGGACAGTTCTCAAATAATCTGTCTTCTGTGAAGAAATGTGAAATACTTGTAGAGCCTCAGACCATCTGTCACAGGGAAATCATACTGTTTTTTTTAACGACTGGAGAAGGCAGTTACATAGAACATCAAGAAATCCACACATGGTAGATTCTTTTAATATTTGCCCTGTATTTTTTAAATCCTCAATTTTTTTCTGAAATGTTAACATTTCTTCTGTTAGTCGGATTACTTAAATAATCCCTCCAAAATCTAGCTCCTATTGTTACTTACACAGCCAACAGATATCAATGACTATTGTGTAATTCTTTGGATAATGAGATTTGTGCTAAGAGTCCCTTTATTATCCATAGAGATCTTGGCAAGTAACCAGCAACATTTATTTCCTTAGGAAATTTCAATTTTGTCTGCTTTAACTGAAAGGTAAACAGTAAGTGTAAGCACACTTCCAGAAAACTGCAGGCATTCCAAGCATGTACAAAGTACAACTATTTTAATCATATTCCTCAGTGAAAGAGGAAGAAATATAAGTATCTCATCTTTTAATTTTAAAGTAAAAGCTACTTAAAATATCTCTAAATTTCCACATAAGCATACAGAAAATACATACTAAAATGTTAATAAACAAATAAATAAGTTGTAAGTAATCTCAAAGTTCTGGAGAGTTCAAAGTGAAGAAAGAGAAGAGTCAGGATCTGGAAGAGTAGCAATATTCTACCATCTAAAGACAGAACTGTCTGACTCTTGCAGAGTTAATTTCAACCTTTCTTAGAGTCTTTAAAGTGAGTAACACAAAGATTTCAAAAGACAGATTCTCCGTCACAAAACAAGACTGTATCCTTTAAGTACAGTACCCTTTAAAAGAGGGCTGGAAGACACAAACTTCATAAAAAGCTATGCATACTTCATCATAAATGCTCCCATTGATATCTGCTCCATAAATTGGTGCCACAAAAGTCAAGTTCCTCCAGTATTTACGCTCCAGATCTTCATAATCTGTGTATCTTGGGGTGCAGTATCTGCAAAGGAAGAGGTACGTAAAGGTTCATCACAGTCTTTCAACAACCACCTTCACAACGGACTATGCTTCTGAACCTGAAAATTGAATTCTAAGAGATCACTTTATTTCAAATTTTTCAAAACAAAGGAATTACTACTTCTCCTGACTTCTTAGTGTCATAATTAACCATATCATGGGACCTTCTGCCTGACAGCCCCAGTAAGTGAAGTCATCCACCTACCCAAACAACACTTGCTTCAGTCTCCAGCAGCTAATCAGGACATCTACTGACTGTCCTCAGATTGAACCCTTTCCTTTCATTTCCCTTCCGTAAAAAAACATGCATGGAAAAGTCATGCAATTAACAAGTATTTAGTATTTTCCTACCTCACCACTAGTTCTGCAAAGACACAGATATAGGTCTTGCATAAGCCTGCCTCAGAACAGCTCAAACTTACTAAATCAGCCCATGCATCAGCCCTGCCAGGCAAGACCAGTACTTTCTTCTCTTCTTTCTTCTCCAGTAAAACCTCTCAAAAAAGTTGCAATATTTCAAACAATTGATACCAAAAATTCTACAATGCGAAGAAAAAATATTTAAGGGACTTTTTACTCCTTTATAATAGCAAAAGATACCATACTTATATGCTTAATTGAAGGTACCTAATAAACACATGCTTAAACATATTATGTATATAGTTCTAGGAGGTTACTCATGTAAAATCTTGTGGGAACACAACACAAGCACTCTACCATAGAAACATCTATCAATAGCTTTGCCTCAGGATCCTTTGTCAGACCTCTGTTCTCCCATATTCAGGTCTTCAGAAAAGAAAACTTGCTCCCCCATTACTCCAACTCTGAGAAATGAAGTTTCATATTAGAACTGCCAACATGCTACACCTGAACAACTGGAAAGAAAATCCAAACATACAAGACTTAAGGAGACCAGGTAGACTTACATCATGTAATAACTCTTAACAGAGACAAAAAAAGTTAACAAAAATCATCTTAACCACAGCATTCTCAGCAAGAGAGTTGTTTATTATTCTTCATGATATAGCTCCAGAAATCAGATTGTTTATTTCTGCTTTGCACTGAGAAATATGCATACATGAACTCCTGATTACAGGATGCAGCTATGCCCTTATTTCCCAGAGGTTAAGTAGAGAAGTATTTTGGTTCAATGCTGAGTTGCACATCTAAACAAATAAGAGATGAAATCCATTAGACTGAGTACACATGATCCTTTTAAAGGTAACTATGATTTAATTTAGATGTTCAAGGCCCTTCTCTCTTATTCAAAGGAAATAGATAACATCACAATAGTCAAGAAAAGGGTCATTAACAGACAAGTCTTCTCCATTAAGGAACAAAATTATTTTTATGGGAGAACAGAGGCTCTCAGTTACCTGATAATTTAATAAATACAGACTCAGAGTGTCATAGGAGGTTATATGACACATTTTCTCAAGAGTAGTGATGAATATTTAGAACAACCTACAACTAGTAATAAATAAGAAGCTGTCCCAACAGTTCTTAATTTTGTCTATGAAATTAAGTTGCCATCTGATTTCATAAAAACCATGAAAACTGAAATCAGAAACACTTCCATTATAGTGTCCATAATAAAGAATAATAAACATCATGATACATACTAAAATATTCACAGTTTTGCATTATGGAACTATTTTAACAAATTAGTGTCTCATTTTATTATAGGTTAACAAAATGTAAACTTTTTAACATCGATGAAAAAGTATAATTGAAAATGACATCAGATACCACAGAGTTCTTATGTTCTATTCCCATCTCTAACAGTTACTAAACAATTTTAAAAACTACAAAATAGGTTCCCACTCCCACTTAACAGAGAAAGAGTACTGTAAGTGTGATAAACACAATTTTTCACAAGTAATACAAGGGTGGAAATACCAATCCATTTTAATTGAAGAAAAAAGATTATCCATTTTGCACTATTGTAAAGGCATGGATATCATGGGACACAATTGCTGAGGAGTCTCCTTAAAAACTTTTCATGTCCTAGTTTGTCCTGATCTTGACAGCAGCTTCTCTTCTTACATCTTAATTCCTTAATTAACTTATGAGACAAACCTTGCTTCAAACTAAGGCAGTGTTATCTTCCTCTATTCAAATATCTTTTCTCTCTAAGATGCTTTGACTCACCTCCCAGAAACTATTTCCACTCAGTTTTGAGAAAATACTGAAGTAAAATGTATTCTTTCCAAGTGGTCAAAAGGACAGGGAAGAATTCCTTCTATCCATTCCCTCTTCTTGGAATGCTCACCAATTTGAAACTTTTCAGTACAGTGCCTAGCCCTCTATAAACTCTCCCTTAATATCCATAACCAAAACATAGACATTCACTAGATGCAGCTAAGTTCTCTTAGATTAATGCAAAACTTCTGGACAAGTTAAAAAAGATGCTGGGTTTTTTTCGGAATTACGTGATGATAGGCCATTCCAGTACCTAGGAATTAAATATTAAACATGAATAGGTGTAATCAAATTAAAACTCAGATGTTAGTCTGTATCATCTTCACTATTTTCTACATAACCGTCTTTTAGAACAGAAAGAAAAAAGGCAGACAGAAAGCATCATGTCTCAGGTTTCCTAGATGCTTTCTTGCTGTCATGGTATCAGATGCCTTCAATAACACAAACAAAAACAGTATTCACATTGTTGTACCCCTAGGAGCCAGGAAAAAAGTAAAAAAAAAAAAAAAATCACCATTTGCCTTGCACAATTCAAAGAAATCACAATATGTGAAGATAAATATTTGTCTTTCTAAGCAAGACATACATACTTGTCACTGTTGGCCAGCTGCTTGAACTCCTTCACTGTCATGGGCTTTTTCTGAATGTTGTACTGTGTGAAAAGCCCCGACTGGCCAGTGACTATCTGTTGAATTGGAGCAGGAATCACCAAATCTTCAATATCATTATAATGTTTTCTTGGCTTCCACTCCTTTGGTGGGATAACCTTTAAATTCAAAAACAAAACACAGGACATCACAGTTGCGGTATCAGTTCAAAACATCCTGGTCATCAAATATGACCACATGATCAAATGAACACTTGTTTACCAGCTGTTTCACACTAACTAACTGATTATGTAAGTGCTCCTATATAATGTAGAAAGCAACTAAAAATAGGGATAGTATCACCTCAATTCACAAGCAGCAACTTGCTCATCTACAGCAATTCAATCAAAGACAACTGTGCAAACATGATTTAGAAAGCCTTACAATTGAAAAATAGTTCAGAATCCATGGTATGATACATATTTAGTGTTAAAAAATGCATGGATGTTGCATTTGGGGATATGGTTTAGTGGTGAACATGGTGGTGTAAGGTCAATGGTTGGACTCAATGATCTTAGAGGTCTTTTTCAAACCTAATTATTCCAAGATATAAAATTTTTATCACCAATTAAAATACTCATACAAAAAACTGGCACTCCCCTGTCTAAATGTTATTTGGTATAAACAGTATATATAACTTTATTTTTTACTGAAAAGTGAAAAAGGTACAGCTATTTTAGACCTTAAGATTTGAGAGTCTGTGTAACTCACTCCCCATAACACTGTGGGATGTAACTGTTATAGTAAGAGTTTGCACTAATTTAGATATATTAGCTTTTATAGTTACGTGATTTAATCCTCATAACTGAAGATTAAAGCTATGTGCAGATTTACCAATTGTAAAGTTAACATATTTATTTCAAGTACCACAAAACTGCTCACAGTCTATGAGAACTACTCAGCAGATTCTAAAGTGTTAGCAATAAAGTCACTAAGAATTTCAGAGAAGACTGTAGTAACACCAGTGTCCTTTAACAGGGCTGTGTAATTTTGAACATTCTTTGCATGTATTATTTTACCTGAAAACAGATAACTCTCTAGATGTTAACTGCATCACTTATAAAACACAGGAACAGAAAATTTTTATATATATATTTTTGGTCTGGTTTTTGTTTTGAACTTTTACTTGTCCAAAGGCTCAATGCCATATTTTTTGAATCACTCATTATATTCACTCTTTTCTGTCATGCTCAAATCAACTTTTCACAAGTCACAAATGGGCAAATTGTAATGCTAATGTACTCAAACAGTTTATTCCTCAAAGAAATCCAGTCAAGACCATTTGCGCTAACAAGCATAAAGCAAAGGACAAACATCAAGCTGAAGAAAAGTTTTAAGAAAGCAACATACTTCCAAACCTAAAGTTTTTAATTCAAACGTAAATAGGCATTTTTATCCAGTTTTTACACAAATGCAATTCCCTCTTTTCCTTTTTTCCTTCTCAGCTTCTATAGGACTTCCGTTGTACAGGGACTGCTTAGCAAGTTGATTGCTTTTAGAGAAAAAAAGTAAGCGAATCATCTTGTAATTCCTACTTACTTCTTTCACCGAAATCTTAAATTATATGCACATCAACAAAATACAGAATGTTAGTCTGAAGTTAGTTTGATGCATTGAGAAGTCATGCATCCAGAATATATGCATAGAAATCAAATACGGGCACAGAGATTTCCATTTTCACGATTATTAAGCATAAAGTTGTAGGTTTGGTTGAACTATAAGAATACTGAAAAGCAGTATTTGCATTATCTTACTTAATTCAAGGTCAGTGTGTTTTAAGCAACAAAAATATTTTTGTGAATACAGGTTCAAAGTATCGCCTTCCAGCTAACTGGAGCATGTTTATTGCTGTTGTAATTAGTGTACTGGTTAGAGAAGTGAATTCTCTGGGGACCAATAAGCAAAGTACCACTTTAAAAGAAAATAAAATAGAGTTCCTGCCCAAAGAATTTGCATTTTCTAACAAAGATCAGCACAAGGACTGAAAATGTTAAAATATCATGTCCAAAGTGACAGGCATTAGACAGTGTAAGAGCTGGAAATAATGACCAGACCTCTATGACCTGTCCCACTGAAGCCTCTACATATTCCCTTTAGTAAAAATAACCTCTTCAAAGTCAGGCAAGTTAGATTTATTCAATGGAAGCAACTTAGATCAAATTCATCAATCAAGCTTTTGAAAGCTCAAATATGAAAAAGTTAAAACCTAAGGTAAGACTTTCTCATTTACTTATTTATTTATCAAAGATCTTAAGCATATTAATACTGTCTAGTATCATGTAGTGTGATATGCATTCAGATTTAGATAAGGATGTCTTAGTTATATCAGTCTCCTCCATGAAGGCAGCACTTTAGTACTACTGAGGTTACTGCAGTGCTCTCAACACGTACAGTTCTGTTAAATCCTCTTTCATATACTGGTAATCTGTTGTACATCTGACTCTGAATGGCACTGGCTACTATTTCTATGTAACTACTTCTCCCCAGTTCCTCTGAAAATTGGTTTTCTTGCACTTGTCAATATCTATTTTTAGCATAATATTCCAAAATTACTTTTCTACTTGCCGATGTGACTGACAATTAATTTAACTATTTTGCTCTATATAAATTCACTTTGAGACTTCAAAACAATTCTTATTCCAGTAAAGACCAACTAATCTATCAGTGTGCCTTGGTTTTCATTTGTTCCATTCTTTCCAGTCCTTGTTTTCCAAGTCTTGGACCCGCTGTAACAGTAAGACTAAAATAGATATTTTTTTTTATGCTTAAAGCTCATTCCAGACTTTCAAAAGCCTAATGGTGATTTTTTTGCCAATATTCTTTATCCAGTACCTTAATCACTTGTTCCAGACATAGTATTAGGAACTTACGGGGTCGTTGTGGTTTTTTTAATGTTTTATTTCCCATAGTCCCTCCCTCCTCCAATACGTGCAAGCCTTACAGTAATTTTATTCCTATTTACATACACATATTCTCCTACACAGGTAACAGGTCTTCTCCCCTTACACCCTCACATTTAACCTAAAGTGTTGGATACACCTATTCTGATTGTGTTCTCTGTTCAGAAGTTAAATTACTGTTTCTGCATATGCATATAGTTCTTCTGGTAGTTGTTATTCTCTTCACATTAATACTTCAGCATGTACATGACAGACTTCAGAAGAATTAGGTTCTTTGTAAGGTAATTTTATATTAGTATCAAAACAGAAAAAATGTATTTTTTCTTGTTATTTTAAAATTAATTTCCAAAACCCAGAAAATATCCCTTTGCAGCATGAATTATTCACTTGATAAGATTTGTTTTAAAAAATATTTAGTTGGTTTATTTTTATTTATGAATTCTTTTGAGATATATCAAAATATAGTGAAAAACAGAACTCAGAATTCTCAAGACAAAGTAGTAATACATAGCAAGTAACTGTCAGACTAAAAACAGCAAGAGATGCTATTCAAGAAAGCAAGATGATATCACTACAATGCATTTGAAATTTACTGTCCAAAATGAAAGGAGTGCAATAGTTCATCCCCACACAAATAGGTTCCATAATACAGACAGCTGAATATAGGAAAAATTCAGCTCAGGCTTTCCACTGTTGTCTATTTATCAAATTTCTACTTCTGTTTGCAGAGAAGAGTTTGAGACTATGACCAGTGTGTACTCTATCCTCAGAAATAAAAAAAAAAAAAATCAAATAACATAAAAGGTTTCCAAAGTGTTAGGAGTTCAGTTTTGCTTTGCTTTACAGGAAGCAGGATGAGGGAGTGGGCAGGGGAAAACCAAGAATTGCAAGTCTTGTTTCTCTTCTCTCAGATTCTAAACGTCTTGACTACGCAACATTTGCTTAAAAACCCTGTGATGGAGAGGCTATCCTCACTAAGCACTTAAAATAATTAAGCTAGTACTTCTGGACCTGCACCGGGTGCTGCTGGTTTGAAAGGCAGCAAAACAGACACAGTGTAAACACTTTTGTGATGTATCACTAAATTACATCAGACTTAACCTCTGACAATCACTCTCCGTGAGGGGAGGGACACCTGCTGTACAGTCCTGGATGTGCAGACGTTCAATGGGCAATACAATCGCAGATAGTGTCCCTCCAATGCTCATTAATAAAGAGACAACATGACAACTCTTAAAAAGAAAACTATTTCCATTTAAACAGTGCCTCACATACGTCACTGTTGACTGTATTGGGATTATTTGCTCCAGTAAACAACCCTAAAAGATCAAGTTCAACACCTGTTCAAGATTACTGTAATTTACACTGTCAACTACCTGTTTAGTTCTGATTTGACAAAAACTAGTTTAAATCTACACAAAATGAGATCCTATTTTGCTACTGTAAACTTGTAAAAAATTAACAGTTAGAAAACAGTATACATCATCTTCATTAGTCTGCACAAAACATCAGAGATACCGAAAGGCTCTTTCTTAAAACAGTAACAAATCAGCACCTATTCACTGAAAATAATTTAGAATGTTAAAAACTAAAAAGGTCACGAATTGTAATCAGCAAAATACAAATACTAGGAGAACAGCTTTAGGATCAATCTTCCTTCTATGCTACGGATGTTTACCTTTGCAACTCCAGCCCTATGAGCACCCTGTGATTCCATGTACGCTAAGTATTTGTTGAATTCCCTGAATTCATCCATTGAAGGCCTAAAAGTCATGATTTTGCAGCTTGGGTTCGGAGGACTATCTGAGATGACAGCAGCCATTCTGATTCACTTTCAATCCAGCTTTAAACAAAGAAAAAAAAAAAGAAAAAAATTACATACACTGCAGAGTATAATCTGTAAAACAAATTCTGAGATTCAACATACTTGGTTTCAGACATGAAAAAAAGCTTCTAAAATCACCTGCCCAAGCTACTATAAAAGGCATAAACCAAATGTTTACTTTTTCACTTTACTCTTTCAAGAATACTCAGCTTTTACCCAGCACAAACTCTGTTGTAAGTGATACGTACACAGTTCAGTCCATACCTCTATTTATACAGCATGTTTTCTCAAATTAACCTGGCATCTTCTGTGTAGATCCATCTGCATGCTCCCTATCTAGAGAATTACATTACACAGGCACAATCTAGAGTAACAAAACCACATGTTTGATAAAATATCACTATTACCATTTAGTAAATGGTAAACAGCAACTATGCACTTTACCACTCACACTGCAAATACAGAGAAAAAGCACTGTATCTCCTAGGTCTCACATTAGCACTTTAACAACAAGACTATACAGTAGTCCTCATTCTCTGAAAGCTCTGCAGCAGAAAACAGTCCGCAAGTGATACACATAAAATCAGCATTTCCTCTTATTTCCATTTCTGCACTGAGGATGACTAAAAAAAGTCATATTTCTATTTCATACCAAGATATAGTACTCATGAAAGGACTGATCTTTAGGCAACTGACAGATATACATTATCTTCAGAAGGTGTTGCAATTTCCAGGTATATATCACCATGTGTGATCTACTGTTCACCAAACTCTTCATTAATTTTACAAAAAAGCTCATCCCAGAATACAAATAACTCAGCTGTGACTAGCTTTGTACCGATTTTGCTTTTGTGAGCACATAATTCATTCCCTCATTTTCTACATCTGCAAAATGCATGCAACCATCTTTTTTTATGCCACACATTGTAACCATACACTTTGCTTGTACGTCAGTGTATTAGTCGCTAATTTTATTAGCTTCATGTCTCTTCTAGCTTTGTATGAATCACTGCACAAGAAAGCTGTATGTGCAAGATAAGATGCCTTTACGTCTTTCCACGCTTCATGGTCCTATGAGTATTTCAAAATTTAGTCTGCTTTTTGGATCTTTATTTTTCCTCTCATTTCGCATCCCAAATTCACCCAGCATATCACTTTCCATTCTTAGCAATTAATTGCATTTCTTTACCCACATTCACATATTCAGCAACATCCTATTCCCCTCCCTACACTATATTCCATCCCTGTTTGAATTTAAATTAACTAGACTGCTGCAACTGTGTGTCCAGCTTTTGGCTGAGACAGAGTTAATCTTCTTCCTGACAGCTGGCACAGTGCTACGGTTTTGCATTCAGTATGAGAATAGAGTTGATAACATGATGTTTCGGTTGTTGCTAAGCACTGCTTACTCTGAATCAAGGCTTCCCATGCCATGAGAGTGAGCAGGTACAGAAGACACAGGGATGGAGCATGGCTGGGACACCACATTCCAACTGGGTTACTCCATGCCACAGAACGCCATGCCCAGTACATAAACTGGGGATTTGGCCATGACGGGCCAAGAGCTGCCTGGGGACGGGCTGGGCATCACTCAGCAGATGGTGGGCAACTGTGAGCATCGCTTGTTCCTCTCTCTCTCCTTTTCATTGTAATTGATAGCAGTATATTTTATTTTGTTTCAATTATTAAACTGTTCTTATCTCAATCCACAAGTTTTACTTTGTTTTTCCAATTCTCCCCACTGGAGGTGGGGTGGGAAGTGACTCCTTTCCAATCTGGGGTTAAATCATGACACTTTCCCATTCCAAAAATCAGTACCACTTTAATTTGAGGGTACTTTTGCATTTAAATTACTAAGTCCATATAGACAAATATACCTTGACATGTGTGAGATAGCTTCCCTCAGTAGTAAACAGCTGGCTTGTATAAAATACATCCTTTATTTATTCCATCCTTTATTTATTCCCATCTATTGAAGTTCCAGATATAATCTTGCTGATATGACCAGTCCCAGGAAAATGAAACTTGGATTTATGATGAAAGGTGAAGCTATGTTTTCCTTCGCTGCTAAGTGCAATAGAGAGTGTTTACTATTTGTAATGGTTCACTCACAGTAAAGTGACACTGGAAATGTAATCAAACAGGATATGTGCCTTCCCTTTACAATATCACATTTTAGGCTTTCACCTTAAATATATTAAAATAAGTATATACATCACTGAAATACACATACACACACACCTCCCTCTAACAAACAAACCCTTTGGTATTTCTTCACTGTGAAAAAAATTAGCAGTCCTCCGTTATTCACCATTTTACATCTTTCAATCCATTCCACTGACTGTAAACAAGACAGCCAGCACTCAGTAGTTATTTTATCATAGCACATAGGTAAAAATCCTTCCTTTAATTCTTTCTGTATTCTGCAATAGTGTCAGTGAGGTTCTGGGGCACTTTGCAGGGGAAGAGGAGGGAGAAGGGGAAATGAAGGAGAGGGGAAGAGGGGGGCATAGAAGAGTTATTCTATTGTTGCTTGGTTTGGTTTTTCTTATAAAGCAAATTACTTGAGCATCCGCTTATGAATTTGTCTTCTACGTCACTAATATTCTTTGCTTTAATGAACAGAAACTTCTGTCTTTTTAGACTGACTTCCAGCCCAAAGAGCTCTGTAGCATCCGCAAAGCAGGATGTCCTGCTTTATGGTGAACTTGCCACCGGCTGCCGCAAGAGAGGAGCCCCGAAGAGGAGATACAAGGACTCCCTAAAACAATTGATCACCATAACTGGTCTACTCTGGTCTCCAATCGGGAGGCCTGGAGACACACCATCTATAACACTGCTGATGTCTTTGAGAACGCACGCAGGATCACTCTCGAGGAGAAAAGGCAATGCAGAAAGAATCATGCCTTGCAGAATATACCATCCAAGGAGTCTTTCTGCTGTGCCTTTTGCAACCAGACATGCCTATCTCGTATTGGCCTTTTCAGTCACCAACGCGCTTGCAACAAACGTGGGTAGAGCCCTTCCCAAATCTTCATTCGCAAAGCCCAGCCATGATGGATGAATGAACAGAAAGGACTTACCTGCCTAGTACCAAATCTAACATTCCCAAACCAAGCCACGGATTCTAAATGCACTAACTTTAATGGGGAGAGGGAGTATGCTGCAAACAGTAACAGTTGGAATTATTTTCAGTTAACCAATAACTGAATTGTTGTCTCTCTACTACAACATCTCTCAGACATGTCTAAGCCTTATCAGAGCAACTATTTCTGCTTAATTCAATGTGGTACTTGTAAACAATACTACACTAGAAGATTGGCTGATAGGCCAGTGGGTCATGCTGCCATCCAGAGGGACCCTGACAGGCTGGAGAAAATGGGCTGGCAGGAACCTTGTGAAGCTCAACAAGGGGAAGTGCAGTCCCGCACTTGGAGAGGAACAATCCTAGGCATATGGGGTACATGATGGAGGCTGAAGGCTGGAAAGCAGCTTTGCTGAAAAGGCCTTTGGGAGTTTTGGACACCAAATGGAACACAAGCCAGCAACAGTCTCATGAAGCAGATGTGGTTAACTGTGTCCTGGGCTGCACAGGGAGGGAGGCTGATAGCAGATAAATTAAGGTGATCCTTCCCTTTTATTCAGCACTGGTGAGGGCATGCCCAGAGTGTTGTGCCTAGCTTTGGGCTTCCCAATACAAGCACAATATGGAGCTAGCAAGCATGCAACAAAAAGCACCATGATTATGACAAACGGACTGGAGTATCTCCCTCATGAAGGCAGGCTCAGAGAGCTGGGACGATTCAGCCTAGAGAAGGCTCTTATCTATGTGTATAAACACCTAATGAGATCACAGAATCACAGAACCATAGAATGTTTTGGGTTGGAAGGAACCTTAAAGGTCATTTAGTTTTAACCTCCCTGCCAGGGGCAGGGATGCCACCCACTAGATCAAGTTGCTCAGAGCCCTATCCAACTTGACCTTGGAAACTTAAAGGGATGGGGAGTCCACAGCCCCTCTAGGCACCCTGTTCCAGTGCCTCACCACCCTCAGTAGATAAGTTTCTTCCCAATATCCAATCTAAAATTACATCCTTTCAGTCATTCTGCCTTTTCCTATCACTACATACCCTTTTAAAAAGTCTCTCTCTAGCTTTCCTGTAGCCCCTTCCAGGTACTGAAGGGCCACAAAAAGGTCATCACAAAGCCTTTTCTTCTCTAGGCTGAACAATCTCAATTCTTCTAGTCTTTCCTCACAAGAGAGGAGTTCCATCCCTCTAATCGTCTTCATGGCCCTCCTCTGGACTTGCTCCAATGGGTCAATGTCCTCCCTGTGCTGAGGACTGCAGACGTAGATGGAGCACTCCAGAAGTGGTCTCACCAGTGGATGACTGCAAAAGAGGGAAGCAGGTTTTCTTCAGTGGTGCCAAGTGACAAGATGTCACGTTTTAACCCACTGGAAACTAAATTAACTGTGGATCAGAAGACAACAGGTTTCCCAGCTGCTTGGTTTTCTTACCTTTTAATTCCAAACTGCTAGCCCCATTTTTTCAGCATCAGAGCAGCCAGGTGGCAATACATGCACTGAGACAACAGCTGGAATCGTTTCATATCTCCTGCAGCTCACTGAAGGATAGGACAGTTACCTCTTTTGTCTCTTCCTCCCGTTCCTGTGATAGCCCTGGCAATGGCTGCCACAATGTTCCTGGTGCTTCACCCTCTTTGCACACCTTGTCCTCCTTTACTAAAGCTGTTTTGCAAGGTGACTTTCACATGCATTTATTTTTCTGTACATGGGCAACTGACAGCAGCACATGTTGGCCTATCACCACGGCTGGAGCATCTGCGAGGTTGTTGCTCTGTTGTCAGACCTGGGGATCTTTCCCCTCCCTACCACCAGAACTGAGCACTGGCGAACAGGGCTCGGTCAGCCTGGGCCGGGCACCAGCACATCTGGGTCTCTCTGAAACTTCTAGGGTGTTAGCTCATCTCTTCCAAATATTTTACTATTTTTTTTC